CCGTGCAATCATTTGTATTTTTGAAAACTTAATGTACTTACAAGTGCTGTGGCCTCGTGCTGGCGTGCAATCCCTCGCCCTCCTTTTGAATACACACACTCCTAAGTGACGTCATTAATGCAGCGCGACACAACAACAGTCAATTGGGAAGTACTGCCTTGAAGTCAATTGCGTCGTACTTTTTGATATTTTACTGTGTTTCTGAAAGTTCTCTGAACGTTCCATGTCCCACAAAACCTCCGTAAAAACCTGAACAATATACATATCCATGTTCACTGCTTCCATAACTAAAGAATAATACGCGTCACAGGGAAACGGCCCTATACAGCTTATAAGTACAGTATAAACCCCGCGTATAAGAACATAGATTTTTCCAAGTTAGCCACTAACATGTTCTTATATAGAATGGTGCTTACTGAAAATTAGGGCTCAAAAGGTTCTTAAATAGCGTCTTATTGTTCTCTTACTTAAATATGTACTAGCTGAACACCGCCGCATAGCGCGCGGCTTTAGTGACTGGTGTGCATGTGGTTACCAGTCACAGTAGTGTTATTGTGTAAGGTGTTATATGGAGAGTTTATATATTTTTTTTATATAGAAAAAATTTTTATTTTTTCAAGCTGAATGTTGTTCTCTATGTATATAGCAATTTTTTTGACGTACAGATATGTCAGCCTGAGAGTGTTCTTAAAAATCGGAGCCCGTGCGTGTTTCTTTTATGCGGCGGTTTTTTACTGTATATGTAAATAATGCAGTACTCTGTCTCAATAACTATGGCCAGGGTGCTGGCATTGTTATTGTGTGAGGATTGGCATTGGCATTGGCATTGGCATGGTTATTGCATCGATATTGTTGAGCTCGTCTTTTTTATTTTACCTGTGTTTCTTTTAAGTCTCCATCTGCCATGGAAAATTAAGAACCCCTACTTTAAAATCTTAGCCTAAAACAGGTTCTTATGTAAAGGGGTCTATGGGGAATGTTAGAATTTTAGCCTAACATGTTCTTAAAATCTATGTTCTTATACGCGGGTTTTTACTGTATATATAGTTACATACATGTAGCAGTATCGATACATACAATAAAAAGCTAAATACAATGCAAAGCAATATGATTCGTTCTTGATTACAATGTATTATTCAATTTTGATGGTTGAGTATGTTGTTATATATAGTCAATGGCGCCGCGTGTGTGCTGTACGCGCGGGCTTGATCTTGCTGCCAGTGGTCTGTTCGATCAATATATTTCGCAATCGATTCTCTTAGTGCAGCACAGTGAATTTTGTTGACGCTTAGAATATAATTTATTTATTTTTATGATGTTGATTCTGGTATATTATATAGGCCTATACGTGCCACATATCAGAATTAAGTGTTTCGTTTCCAAGTAGATCAACAAGATGATGGGTATAGTTGTGCCTGCAGAAATATGTTAGCGTATTCCTACGGTTAGTAGCGCTCAAGGGGTCGTTGTCGTATCAGGTACTACAGATATGTATTAACCCCATATGCGTTAGCAGCGTCCGTTGCATTAGAACAGTATGAAAAATAAGTATAAATAAAATATACAAGCAAATATTTCTTCTTCGCGTATTCGTGCACGCTGTCAGGGTTGCTGCGCGAACACATGCACGCACGCAATCATGTTCGAAACAGCCAGTGAGCACGTGTTCGCTGCGTGCACGCAGGCCCCACATCAGTATATAACCAGGCCCGCGCCTGCGCTGCGCCTCATTCAATAACTCAGTGGAAAAGCGAATAACAAAAGTGATAAAGCTGTGAAGCGTTATATACGAAGTCGTGCGATTGTGTTCTGCATTTCGTAGGGTAAGGTGTGTGCGACTAGCGGATGGTGTTATTTTATGAAGCCGCTATAGCGATCGAGTTTGCTCGCCAATCTCGTGTAGATAAAAATATACGCTTTGCTCAGCTGCTGGCTGTTGGTTGCTATGGTTGACGAAATCCATTGTGTGATATCTGTGCGAATAGGAACACTGGTTTCTGGTTATCTGCTATGTGTTACACTCTAAGCTGACGTTGAGGAAAGACTGCATAGAAGGAAAAGCATGTTTGCGATCGAGTCGCAGGATATTAATTTATCGTATAGAATATACCGGTACCCTATACCGTTGAGTAATTGTCAAGAGTGACAGATCGACGTAACCATATATAGATGTAGAACCCACTAGAAGCTATCCTACCTTGATTTCCAAACTGTATGGATTACTTGCTGAGCGCGCATATAGTTAAACGTACTATACTACGTACAGTATACATGCATCAGTCATCGATTCACTACATGTAGCTCTATACTATAGCCTAGAGTCCCTATAATGGCTATATACAGAGAGTTGCGCCATGACGAGTCATAAAAAATCGGTCACGTGATCGCTGCCGGCATGTTGTTTCCAAATTGATCCACACCGCTGCCGCTTAAGTACAGCGCTGTATGGATACGCTGTACAATGGTCCGTAGTAATTAATTAGACTAATCGTGCTTCAATAACCTCAAGATTTACAGAGATTATAGCTAAGACATATGTGTCTATGTGTAGCTAGATTTATAGAACTGCAAAACAAATATTACAGCTGCGAGCGAGTGGAGAGTGGAACGCATTTATCTTGTGAATTACAGTTGTCATTATTCTTCCAAAATGACTATAGCTGCTGTGTTTACACTAAGAAATTTAGTGTACAATTAAGCTATCATATGGCGCGAACGATTTGAGTTACTTTTCTAGAAATCTAGATACATATATAAACACATGCATGTTATCTATGATCTCTGTGATTCTTTAGTTTATTGAAGCGCGAGTGGTTTAATTAATTAGCAATTGTGTCTACGCGCGGTATCGCACAGGCTAATATACGCACGGCGGTAAGAAAGTGTACAATTAAACTATCATATGGCGCGAACGATTTGAGTTCTAGAAATCTAGATATCTAGAACTCTAGAATTTCTAGAAATCTAGATACACATAGACACATATGTCTTAGCTATAATCTCTGTAAATTTTGAGTTTTCTGAAGCACGATTAGTCTAATTAATTACTACGGACCATTGTACAGCGTATCCATACAGCACTGTACTTAAGCGGCAGCGGTGTGGATCCATTTGGAAACAACCTGGAGTCAAATCCTGAGTTGGCGCAACTCTCTGTATGGACTCTACTATAGCCATTGTTCGCCCTGTGGCGAACAAGGGCTATATATATATATATATAGTACTATAGTCCTACATTTCATCAGGGGTATAATATACCGTAATCATAATAATGACAGATTTTTGTCATTATTAACCCCTGAATCATCTAGCCTGACAGGTTCTACAAGTCAACTGTTACACTTATTAAGAAACGAGATCGAGAAGGTAACTTTTGGCCACATTTACATGCATCCACGAAATGTATAGGGCCCCTACTTATATTAATTGTTATTATGTAATGGAATTGCTCCTAGAGTAGAGAAAGAAGCAAGCAGCTGACGTTATCTACATAATGGCACGGCATGAGAATATTTTTTTCTCTATCTCTTGTAGTATGAAGGTCGATAAAAAGACGATTCATGAATTCGGTGTACTGCCGAAGAACACCAAACTGCACACATACACTAGCCAGGAGAGCACGTCGTCTGTGTCATCTGATATCTCCACGTCGGTGAATCCCAGCAGAACAATTGGTGTCATCGCTCCTGTGTTGGAGGACGTTAGAGGAGAGCAAGGTACTAATTATATAAACATATACATGGACTGTGGACATACATATACCCTATTATGTTGTGTTATAAGCCTATATATATACATGCGTTTCATGATAAATTATTATATGTCACGATGTCACGATGTCACGATCATCGATTATACTCGATCATCGGTTGAACAGTGGCTCGAACCAAGCGCCTAGTGATGTCACGATCATCGATTATACTCGATCATCGGTTGAACAGTGGCTCGAACCAAGCGCTTGGTTATCAAAATCCATAATCGATTTCATCGGGGAATTTCTTTCTTTTTTCTTTTTTTTTAAACTTGAACAAGAAAACTTGGAAAAGGGATGAGAATCAGAGATATCATTGCTACTATACAAGTTATCCTTTATTAACATACATGTATTATACACACAGTAGTAAACAGTGCAAAAACAAACAGTAAAACAGGCCTTACAAGCCACATACCATGCACACAGCGCTACATGCGAACGACGTTATCCAGCGCAGGATTCAACACCCTGAGTAACCGGATTGTAACCGATCATCGGTTACTTGGGTCCAACGCATTGATCATTCACGAAATTACAACGCATTGACAACACTATACTATATAACAGTCTAGAACATTCACATAAAATTGGTAAATATATTAATGATATTGGTGATTGCATGGTCAATATCGGGTAATTGTGTATGGTTCTTTATTAGTATGGTTTTGTACGTTTTTATTCTTATAGGCCTTTGTAAAGTTTTAATGGTTGGATGCGGAACCACTCTGGACAGCATCATTGATGAAGCTAACAAGAGGTTTAGAGGCTCACATCAGATTACTGCTGCCTCAACTGATGTACGTTTCTGTGTTTATGAACCTAGCTCTTGAACCTATATATATGTCAGTGGACATGTATATATATAGTATATACTTGATATAATTTATGTATAATACAATTGTTACTACAACAGTGAACTTTTATTTATAATGTAGTTATAATAAAGTATTTTTCTTGTTTGATTTATGCTATCCAGAAGGAATTTAGACCGGTAAGTTAGTGAGTTTCACTAAACCTGCATGCTTGAAAAATTAGGTGCAATAATCTCAGTTGACACTCTTTACTTAATTGTCTCTAGGACACATACAGATATGTACCTCTGTTAGTATTGGGCAGTCTACTTCACCTGTAACCTATATTCACATACAGTACGACTGCATCCTGGCAGCAGATGAATACGACTGTTTTGTCATCCACTGGGATCCAGAAGAGTTTGAGGAGGAGCTCATTGAAATTACAGAAAACATTTGTGATGGAAAACTTGACGTCATAGTCTGCTGTGAACCTGATGTCAGAACTCTGAAGCGATGCCTTCACTGTCTAAGACAGGTAACTATATTTGACAGTTGTGCTCCACTTCCATCGTGGGAATTAGTTATGCTACTAAAGTACGAGTCAGAGAATAAGTACAAGTTGTTGAAATTTGATTGCTTTGAAAAACTTGGTTATAACTCTTTTTGGAATGTGATTTTTCTTTTGGAAATTCACTGGTGCTGATTGGGTCTATGATTGTCTCTCTGGGTACTGCCGGACACTGCGGCTGCTGTTGTCAATAACAACAATCAATAATTTCAACTATCAACAATCAATAATTTCAACTATCAACAATCAACGACTAATAATGTCAGCAACAATAACAGCAGTTAGTAGCAACATTAGTAGCAGCAACAACAACAGCAGTTAGTAGCAACATTAGTAGCAGCAACAACAACAGCAGTTAGTAGCAACATTAGTAGCAGCAACAACAACAGCAGCCGCAGTGTCCGGCAGTACCCAGGGAGACATAAGGCGCGTTCATACACAAGAAAAACCGCGCTGCTCAGCCCGCTAATAGCGGAGATAATAGTGAGCTAATTGTGTCGTTGTTCACACAGGCGAATATCTCGCTAATCGCCGCGGTGCAAATATCACGCCACGGTTCAAATAAGGGCGCTGATTCCAAATTAGCGCAGTCTGAAGTGGTCTTTGGAGCGCGATTTAGTGAGCTAATTGCGTTCACACTTGTAAAAAGCTCAGTTTTTCGAGCGGGCTGCAAAAACCGGGTTTTGCAGCCCGCTAATTCGCGCCAGTGTGAACGCACCTATAGACCTTAAATGAGTTTCACTTGTCAGTTGTTACGTTCGGTGCTTGTGTAACGTTGACACTAGAATTGCAGTGTATATCTTGCAGGGAGGTACATTAGTCACCACACAGGATGCCAATGATAAAGAAAATGTAAAGGCGCTGGCTAGGAGAAAGAAGCAGACAATCATCAAAGACCTGTAGACAAACCACGTATCGCATCCATAGATGCCATATGTGTGTGTGTACATATATATAAATATATATATATATATATATATATATATTCGTGTGATTCCTTGATAACGGTGCCCTTTAGTTCCATTTAGCAGTCATTGCTTTAACTGCAGTGACTGTGCATTCCTGTAGCTAAAGGGATTGCTGAGCATAAGATGTTCAGGAAGCAGAATATACAGATGTGTAAATTGTAAAACGGAAAAGCCAGTGTCATGGCATTCTGTGTTATATAATGTATAATTCTTTATCTGTGGATCAGTTTTCTGAAAGAAGTGCAGTCAAACACATTTTGTAATATTTATTTTTACCAAACTTGCTTAAAATGCTGCCAGAAATCATGGAAACCAATGATCTCGATTTGTTGCAACGGAAAGACACACTACTAAGTCTGAAGCATTCGGTACGCGTGAGCACAGTAAGGTACGTGGTATTGCAGAAAGCAGAAAATGTGAAGAAAAAGGAAAGGTTACGTCTATATGAAAATGGTGCTAGAATAATTCCTTGAGTATTTGGAGAGTGCTGGATGCACGCTAACATTGTGCTGATATTGGAAACGATGACTTTAACACAAGCCTAAATCACGCTTAAAAGCGAGTTCACACGTTATCGTATGGTTATTTGAGCCTGTGTAACTATAGGTAGTTAAGTTATTGTCTGCAGCCACTCACTTCGTTGACTCTACTAATCGCTGTACTGGCATAACCTACCTATCGATTAACTTCATCTCTCAAAATCACCTCATGAATATGTTTCTTAAAACGGCATGTTCTCGCAGCAAAATGCATAGGTATACCTATTATGAGCTCGTCTATGTTGTAGAAATTCATTACAACTCATTTGTATTGCTACTTTTATAACATTTCTCCAGCAAACCTACACAGTCTTACGAAACTAGTATTTCGAATGTTTACAGTGTTTACACATCCAGGACACAGCCGAGCTGTTCGCAGTTTTCATCAACAGTTCTTTTCTATGATAAAACCAGTTATAATTTATTATTTGATGTTTGTTTAGTACAAAATTTTGAAATTTGTTTAAATCATATGTTATCTACATTACTTATGCAATCAGCAAAGAAATATAGTGTTTTCTTTCCAGGAAGTATTTGCGCTAGCATTGGCCTACTGTTAGCAATCTCGGTCGCTTCGCTTGACAACAATTTATGTGTATCTATACGCTAAAAATTTTATCCGAGAAAGTTTTCAAAATGCTATACCTCGGGGCACATTTCTAGCTTAATGATCGAGAACATTTCGTGATGTTTTCATACTGCAAGTATGCTCACAGTAGTTGTATTTGGGCATTTTGTTGCAAGGATTGTCCACTTTAAAGCTTAGCGGTGTCCGACCTTATCGTAACCAACCACGTTTTTATCATAATAGGCTACATGCATCTAGTTTGCATAGCGCTTCCATTAGACAGAGATTCTATTAATTTGTAGCACTGAATTCTTGCATTTCTGTTATCATTTATTTTGATCTCGTATAAAGTATCTTTTGTAAATACCTGATAGGTTACTGAAAAATGTTTTCATCAATTCTTGTATAATATGAATGTAATAAAAGTTAGTTGTTGCTGTATAGTATATATAAACGTAAATCTTGGATTTTTCATTGTTTACAAAGAGGGTCTCGTTTGCGCGGTTGCATACTTGCGGCTCTTCAGATAATAATTCTATGAGTGAAAATTAACAATGCAGACTAAAAAATCAATATTAAAGTTTTGAAGCATAGTGAACTGTATATACATTAACTATAATATAAGTCATTTTCATCACATGGAAAACTGGGAAATAGAGAACTTATTATCATTAAAGTAAAATAGTATCAGTGAATATATTCTGCTCAATGATTTAGTATCGAGTTGTAGTATAGTATATTGCCATTATAAAGCCAGCTAGATGTCTACAGAGAGATGAACAACGTATCAAGATGTCGCGGCATCATCAGGACTGAATAAAACAAAAATACTTTGTTTTTATTTACTTATGATACCATGTTAGATGTTAACCCACCGGCAATTATGGAAACATTTGCCGACCCGGGAAGCGAAATTTTTTTTCCCACGAGAGTTCCGGACCCCAGCCAATCAGCGCACTCCATTCACTCGACTACCTCGAAGCAACAATGCAAAATTTATACAACCTAACCCTAACCCTAACCCTAAACCTAAACCTAACCCTAACCCTAACACTAACTATAATACAACCAGGTCCGTCTTATATACGCACCATATATTACAAAACACTATCTGTGGTGGGTCCGGAACTCTCGTGGGAAAAAAAATTTCGCACCCGGGAACTGCGCCGGTGATTCCCCGTTCTACCGCGGTGATTCCCACTGAGATCAGTGGGTGATTCCCCGTTCTACCGCGGTGATTCCCCGTTCTACCGCGGTGATTCCCACTGAGATCCGTGGGTGATTCCCCGTTCTACCGCGGTGATTCCCCGTTCTACCGCGGTGATTCCCCGTTCTACCGCGGTGATTCCCCGTTCTACCGCCGTGATTCCAAGTGAGATCAGTGGGTGATTCCCCGTTCTACCGCCGTGATTCCAAGTGAGATCAGTGGGTGATTCCCCGTTCTACCGCTATGATTCCCCGTTCTACCGCGGTGATTCCAAGTGAGATCAGTGGATGATTCCCCGTTCTACCGCGGTGATTCCAAGTGAGATCAGTGTGTGATTCCCCGTTCTACCGCGGCGATTCGCCGTTCTACCGCGGTGATTCCAAGTGAGATCAGTGGATGATTCCCCGTTCTACCGCTGTGATTCCCCGTTCTACCGCGGTGATTCCAAGTGAGATCAGTGGGTGATTCCCCGTTCTACCGCGGCTATTCCCCGTTCTAACGATGTGATTCCCCGTTCTACCGCGCGGTGATTCCCACTGAGATCAGTGGGTGATTCCCTGTTCTGCTGCGGTGATTCCCACTGAGATCAGAGGGTGATTCCTTGTTCTACCGCGGTGACTCCCACTGAGATCACGAGTGGCAATTTTTTATGTATTTTTTTACTACAGTAGGCCTATGTATAGTAAAAAAAAAGGGGTATAGTGGGTAGTATGGGGGGATGTGTGGCAAAAACGCCAATGTACAGATCGTTTGTATCTATTTGTACGTAATTCGGTCTCGTAATACCGCCCCTCGTACACCTTAAAACAACATTATTCACACAATTTGAACATGTTTGGCTCTAGAAAATTTGATTTGTTTAGTTTTCTAAAAATACACAGCAGCGGTCTATAACCAGTGACAGTGTATATCTGCATGGCCATCTGCAGCATATATATGATGTTTATGCCATTTATCTCTCCACTCTCCTGCTACAAACCATAACGTGGCGCCATCAATCAGCATACAAATATTTGCTAAATAATATCAGTGAAAATGTTTAGTTTTCTCTTCAGACTAGTGAGCCTTCGGACTATATAGTGAACCTTCGGACTGCTCTCGCTTCCCTCCCTTCCCCTCCCCCTCTCGCTCTCCCTCTCTCATTACCGGATTAACAATAGTAGCAAAAGTAACATTTGCTCTAATGTAATAGATTTAGAGTAAGTTAAATTTGTGTTTTTGTGTTGCTGTTTTTTTAAGTTATGGCCCCTATAGAGAGTTCCGCGTTTTGTCATATTACCTACAATGCAACGCCGCCGGTCATTTGGGTTCCAGATACCAGTTCAGGCATGGTATACATGCAAGTACATTGAGCAACGCACCTCTGCTCATTTTATTCGCCTATTAAGCAAATCCATCACAACGCCGCTCTCCTGCGGTGTTGATAACTGCAGCAATCGGTATCAGAAAGAGCCACACAGCTTTTTTTAGGCTGCCTATAGGCGCTATAGCGTGATCACAACACAAGGTAAAGTGACGAGAGACCAGGCGGACCACAGACGTTTGGAGCATTTTCAATAAAAACAGCAATGCTGAATAAACACGAAATTTATTTACTACCAATGTTTCTCTACTCTCTTTCGCCTTGTATTGCTGATAATTACCTGTAAATGCCGGTCAAATGCTCCTCTGCAACACACAGGTACACCGCACGCCGCTACACATTTACACTTATATACATGCATATATCGCCGGCATCCAGTAGGCAGCTGTTTGAGTGGGGTGGTGATTTTTCTTGCACGTGCAGCATACTCTACATAAAATAGCACCAAGGCAACATGTGAACAGAATTCACTAAGCCCGGCTTTACAATTACAGTGTGCTGACATGATGCCTGTCCCATATTCTCTCATAATGACCCATGCACGGATAGAGAGATGGTATAATCACTAATCAGAGACTGCATGGGAGTGCATAACACGTGCTCGGATAACGTAGATGGGACTCTCACTGTTCACATGATAGATGTAGACTGGTACACCACTAACCCAACCGCAGAACAGTCGATCGTATAGGCATCCAGGCTTTTGTAGTTCTGAAAGTCTTGAAAGTATAAAATGGACTCGGCTGGAATGTTAGGTAGTTCACGAGATCCAAATAGGTGTGTGATGGGAACACATTGTGGTCCTCACTCCATTCGGCATTGTCTAGTTTGTACCGGTCTCGATTCCCAATGCACGCAATTTTCTCGAGATAGCGTGCTTTGGCTACGTTGTCTAGTGAATCAAAGTACTTATCCATACTACGTACACTACAGACAGTCGACAAACGTGCATACACTACTCACTAGCTATTATAAAAAGCTGCGTTGGATAGCTAGAGTAGGATGCAGTAAAATTTCTGAACTGATGTAAACAAACTCAAGTCTATGAACATGTGTTGCGTGCAATCTTCCCATCTGCTCAATCTACGAATCTGCCGACTGTGTGCAACTGTGCATGGCATGCAGCCTCATTGAACTCTAGCAATTAACACAACCCACGGTGATAACCTGCCTGCGACACCCTGACCCTGTACCCGCGCCCATTAATTAACCGGGTCTGCACAATCATCTCGCGCGCTAGCACACCAAAACCAGCTGATAAACCTGTCTGCAAAATCGGGATACACTTACTGCTTATATCTATTGCAATAATAACACTATAGCCAATGTAAACTGGGTTGATTGTGCAGATAGTCATATTATACGCAACACATGTTCGCTCTGTTTGGAACCGAAATGGCCGACGGCACAGGTTTGTAGGTAATATTGCTATTTTTAGTGCAAAACGCGGAACACTCTATACTAGACAACCCCTGCTTATATAGGAAGCAATTTACTCTAGCTAGTTCCTGATACTGACAATGACAATGGCAGTGGGGGATTTCCGTCTCTCCACACAAATACGCAGTGCGCACACACGTGCGTATACATCAACGACGCACGTACGTACGCACGCAGGCCGGCACAGACATTTGTATGGGTGCATGTATGTCTTTGTATGTGTGTCTGCGTCGCTGAGTGCTTGCGTCAGTGTCTTTAAAATGTTTATTAGGAACAATTTTTCAGAAGTCACAAAAATCCGTTTCCTCAACAAATTTATGTTTTAGCCTGGCCAGAATTAAGTCATGGCGTAACATAAGTATGTCATCTAACACGCACAATTCACAGATAATATCAGCAGCTATTCACCTATTGACAATATTTGTGATTATTACCTGCTCATTGTTTGTATATAGGTCAACATTTATATTTACATGAATAGAGGCGTATTTAATGCGGGGTGGCAGGTGTGCACGAAATTCGTTACGATGCATGCTATTGGCGACAAACGACGCCTCCCTGTGGAGTTCGCTATCTGAAAATAGATATCACATTGCTTAACAGAGAACGGTACATAATCTCATCGCATTCAAGTCTGTGTGTGCATATAGTATATATCTATATCTATCTATCTATCTATCTATCTATCTATCTATCTATCTATCTATCTATCTCTCTCTCTCTCTCTCTCTCTCTCTCCCTCTCTCTCTCTCTCTCTCTCCCTCAACACTCTCGATCTTTATTTATTTATTTATTTATTTCTCTCTCTCTCTCACACACACACACGCGCGCACTCGTGCAATGACCCCGTCATGACACACTCGATCGCACGCGTTCGACGGCGGGATATGGTGAGGGTGGTGGGTATATCACTGGTGGACACGGCGCACGTACGCTGTTATGTATATTTGCAGCGACGACTGTATACGAGAACGAATACATCCTAATTTTCGCTGTAGGCGTGCTTGAATGTATATAGATACGCAAGATTTTATGGAAACAGCGACTAGGTGAAAAACTTCACTAGGCTCGAAATGCGTTGCAACATGATGACGAAACCATAGTATATATAACAACAAAGAGAGGGTCGGTGCCGTTAGTCACCAAATGCACTTTTTCTGCCCACACCGCTAACATTCGCGGAGCACGCCGCAATCACGTGCACAGACGAAATTACGCGGTGAATCAAGACTTCCAACTCACATGCACTTGAAACTGCTATCTATATAACAGTGAAGTTTTCATCGCAATCCAGAGAGCTGACGAGCACACGCCATAGGCTACACACATATGCAGTAACAGGGAAGACTTCGTTCCCGCCGTCGAATTGTATGAACTGCACGACGCGTCAGCGAGTAGCTCAGACTCGGCATCACTCGCGATATTCAAGTGAATCAGAAAGATA